GTGAACATTCAGGAATGGAAAGGCTACGAACAGGGTAGAATTCAGGAGTGCAGCACGGCACTACTGAATAGGAGTTCAAACAGAGGTGAGGTATGCTCCTGCAGCAGTGACTCTGACTAGATGAAGATGTCTGGAGGAACCTGCAAGGACACATTACTATCTTAGCCTTTCCTGTCTCATATCTTTTAATGTTAACTTAAAAATAACTTTAACAGATGTAAAAATACATTAAACATAAAGAATATGTAAAACAGAATGCTCATTCACCTATTAATAAAAACTGGATATCTGGGTTTGTGGAGTATCATTTTGAGCCTTGAGCTTTCCTATGTTTGTTTTTGAATTAGAACATGACAAGAGTGGCTCAACTCAACCTGAGAAACTGAGGAAACTGCATGTTCACGGGGTAGCAACCCGCCAATCACAACCAGCTCTGCCTTAACGCAAAGCCTGCTTCAGTGTCTCTTTGCTCTGGAACATGATTTTCAAAAATAACATTATGTTGTAGAACTAAAATCATCTGGAAATTGTTCAGAGTTCATAAATCAGAAGTATATCTGTGAAATTATGCAATTAAATTATTTTGCACCTCGCTGCCCCCTGCTGGTCATCAAAGAGAATGCATTTCTTTTTTTAGTGTTGGAAAACAAAATCCAGATTCTACATTCATCTTTTTGTACACACACTTTGTGTAAACTTATAATCAGCTTCCACTATATGGTTATCTTGTGTTGAAAAAATAAATATGAAAACTGATTATTCTTTTCTGGTCTGTTCAGTTTTTTTGTCTGATGTCCTTTTACAGAGCCACGACTATTTTGGACATCTCCGTTTGGTACCAGTTAGCTCACCTGCTAAATAATGCCAAACAAAGAGAGCATATAACCCCAATTTTTTTTAGCTTTCTGTCTCCTACAGGATCCAATTTAAACTTTTATTTTTTGTTTTTAAGTCACTTAACACCCAAGCCCCTTCTTACCTCCTGGAGGTCCTTTCTGTTTATGCTCCAGGAAAAACCATGAGGTCTAGCTCAAAATTAATGCTATCCATCCCACGGACTAATCTTAAATCTCGTGGCGATAGAGCCTTCTCTGTGGCAGGTCCAAAACTTTGGAATAGTCTTCCGCTAAATATTAGACTTACACAAACACTTGATCAATTTAAATCACTACTAAAGACATATTTTTATGTCCTGGCTTTTAACACACAGCTTTATGCAGCATCGTCTGTCTGGAAAAGTGCTATATAAATACATTTGACCTTGACCTTGATCAAAAAAAATGACAGTTTGAGGCACTTTCACATCAGCAGACCAGCAAATTGTCTCTATGTTTTGAATATAGTCTATGCAACAAGATCGGACATTCCAATTGTAACACAGCACAAACACACAGGCCATGATTTGATGATGATGATTCTCTAATTTCCCTCAGGAATAATAAAGTATTCTGATTCTGATGATTCATTAGTAGCTGCACCAGACACAGATCCTATGAAATCCATCATTGTGTTTGCTGGGATTAATTTAACAAATGATGGCGTGACATCTTGTGGTGGGAGTTCAGGCTTGCCCGTGATGATGTAGGATGGATTTCATAATAGAGGTGTGGCTTTATAAAACGGCAGGGTCAGCTGAACGCTGTGTCTGTTGATCTGCAGTGCAACACACAGTAAGTCCATTCATGGATATGTAGGAATAATTACCATGAAATATGTGTTTATGCATCTGGTACTATTTCTAGTTTTATGGACAAA